GAACCATATTGCATTTTTTTTAATTCGGCCATTAGTCTGCAGAAATCTCCTGATGTAGGCAATGTCTTTAAGCTATTTGCACTAAAATATTAAGATACTAATTATGATCTGTTAATTAATGGGAACAGTTTATGACCAATGACAAATCTTAATTTTAATTTAATCAGAGGGTGGCTTTTGCAATTATGAATCTCAGTTATACTATTCTGAATGAATAACTTTTACATTTCAGTTAAAAAGAAATGATATGTGCTACTAATGAGTCATTGAGTAAAATATTTCTTAGGCATTTTTTTAAAAAAATGAAAAATACATATAATTTTTCACAGGTATGTTAATAAGAAGTTTCTTTTTCTCATCCTGCACATCTCATTTGCCAGGCACAATGCATTCAAGACCTGCTCCTTCTTGGAGAAAATCTCTAAAAACAAATGTTATACGTTATATGTTATATTTTTTACAATTAACTCAGCACAAAAGTTTATTGATAGTGTACTGGCTGACATGTTAAGATTTACAATAACTTTATTGCAGTCATTAACCAGCACATTAATTCCTTTGCAGTGCATTACTCTCCAACAAACCCTTAAGAGCTACATACTGTAGAGGAAGAGGCATTTAGGCACTGTGAACTGGGAGGGGAAAATTGATATTTAGTTTATTACGTACTCATTATGTTATTCCCTTCCAGGATAAGCATCACTATGTAGAAAATTAAAAGTATAATGGATTTTTAAAATAAAAAATAACACAGACTCTTTCCAACGGATGTTTCTGAATTAATACTACAAGAATTACAGTGAAGGCTCACTTTATCTGGGATAAATGAAAGCAGAGATTTAGAAATCCCACCTAGAAGTACCATCTTAACATAAAAGAGGATAACTCCCACCGCTGCGTTTCTCAAACTTTCCTCAGAGACAGACTAGCCAAACCTCGAGGAAGCTGACTTTATCTAGGTTGCGCAAGTCGCCAACTATTTTCTCACCTCTGGTGGCCATCTGGAGAAATAGGCGGGGCCGGGATGCCCTGATGGCCGCTGATAAGCTGCCTTCCCTGCCCAAGAACGATGCCTTCCTTTCGGGCATCAACCGAACTCTCAGCCTGCCTTCCCCGGAGCGGATCCACCAGCTGAATTCCTCGGTGAGGGTAAACTCGAGCCGGCTCGCCGTCGCCACGACTCCTTCCTCGGAACGCCACGCACAGTCGTCCCTTAGGTTGGCTTCGCCCACTTCCAGCACCAGCTGCTTGGCGCGGCGCAGCTTTAGCACCGCCCCGGCTTTCAGCACCTTGGACTGGGTTCTGGCACGGCCGGCGGGTTCCGAGGCTCCTCCGCTCCTGGGCGGCCAAGAGCTGGCGGCGCGCAAAAGCGGCGGGCAGTCCAGCACCAGGCTGCAGTGCGCCTTGAAAGCGCCCAAGGCTTCGCCTCTGCCCCCGTCGCCCAGCACCAGCTCCCTCAGGTAGGTCCGGAACAGCGACGGCACGATGAAATCCATCGCTAAGGTCTTTCTCTGCTGCCGGGAGAAACTTGGGGCATCTCGGGGCGGCTGCGGGCCGCCAGCGCGAGAGCCCGAGAACGGGCTGCCCGCATCCACAGTCCCCACTTGCGTGGCAAAGATAAGGAGAGGAGCCAGAAGGAACGGCGGGAAACCAGCGCCTTTCATATTATCAGGCGGCTACGGAGGTGG